CCCAGCTTGACACGGAGCTGTGCGACGGACGGAGCCCCTGAGCAGCCTCAGGCATTGGCCGTCAGCGCCGGAAGAGGCTGGCCCTCGGCGCCGCCTGTGGCACGCTCTGCGGATGCTCCTGGGCCTGCGGCGGCAAAGAGCGAATCCGTAAAAGGACACGCGGGTGGACCGAAGGCCTACTGTCCTGCAGTGCTGCGGGGTGTAGCGCGAGGAACTCAACGAGCGGGGCAACAAAGCCACAGAACCAGTGGTTTGATTGGAGGTTCCAACGAGACTTGCACGACGGGCACCTGACGAACTGCCACTTTGTCTTCGCCTGTACCACTCGGCGTCCCCATTGCCAGTGCTAGGGCACTGCACAGGAACAGAATTGCTCCAACTGGAGCTAACAAAGGAAGTGTGCGGCGACCGAAGCGACAGAGAAAAGAAGCAAGGACTGGCCGCGGATCAGCGGTATCCGATGAACTGCAGGGAGCAGCCAGTGCGCTGAGCCAACATGGCGACGGAAGAGGAACGGCAGACAGAGGAGAATGAGGAGGAAGCGGAGGAAGAGGAGGAGAAAGAGAAGAAGGCAGAGGAGACTGAGGAAGATGCGGAGGACACAAGAGGATGAAAAAAGAAGAGAAATATAAATAATACTAATACGGATAATAATGATAAGATTAACAATAATAAGAATTCCCTACCTAGGCTCTGCCTAGAAGGGTTCTTACTCTCTGGGCTTAAAAGGACGGGCAGTGGAAAGCGCCCCGGGCGCTTCCCCCAGTATCCGCCCCGCGGTTCCCCCAGTCCCCTGGGAGCGGTTCCCCCAGTCCCCTGGGAGCGGTTCCCCCAGTCCCCTGGGAGAGTTAGCTTTAGCTTTAGCTTTAGCTTTAGCTTTAGCTTAGCTTTAGCTTAGCTTTAGCCTTAGATTTAGCTTAGCTTTAGATTAGCTTTAGCTTTAGCTTAGCTGTAGCTTACATTTAGCTTTGCGTTAGCTTAGCTGTAGCTTCGATTTAGCTTAGCTTTAGCTTAGATTTAGCTTAATGTTAGCTTAACTTAGCTTTAGATTAGCTTTAGCTTAGCGTTACCTTAGCTTTACCTTAGCTTTAGCTTAGCTTTAGCTTAGCTTTAGCTTAGCGTTAGCTTAGTTTTACCTTAGAGTTAGCTTGGCTTTACCTTCGCTTTACCTTAGCTTTAGCTTAGCTGTAGCTTAGCGTTACCTTAGCTGTACCTTACTTGTGCCTTAGCGTTAGCTTAGCGTTAGCTTAGTTGTAGATTACATTTAGCTTAGGAGTAGCTTAGTTGTAGCTTAGTTGTAGCTTAGTGTTATAGTAGATGTGTCTTCGGTGTAGCTTAGCTTTAGCTTAGATTTAGCTTAGAGTTAGCTTAGATGTAGCTTAAATGTACCTTATGTGTAGCGTCGCTTTAGCTTAGCGTTACCTTAGCTTGAGCTTAGCTTTAGCTTAGTTTTACTGTTACTACTGATGCTGCTTTCCTAGGGGCTCCAACTCCTAGGTAGGGTCGCACTGGGATAGTGATGCTAATACTAATGAAAAACATAATTATCCCAGTCCGACCCTACCTAGTTGGAACCCCTAGGAAAGCAGCATTAGTAGTAACAGTAACGCTAAGCTAAAGCTGAGCTAAAGCTAAGCTAAAGCCAAGCCACAGCTAAGCTAAAGCTAAGCTAAAGCTAAGCTAAAGCTAAGCTAAAGCTAAGCTAAAGCTAAGTTAAAGCTAAGCTAAAGCTGAGCTAAAGCTGAGCTAAAGCTGAGCTAAAGCTAAGCTACAGCTAAGCTAAAGCTAAGCTAAAGCTAAGCTAAAGCTAAGCTAAAGATAAGCTAAAGCTAAGCTACAGCTAAGCTGCAGCTAAGCTAAAGCTAAGCTAAAGCTAAGCTAAACGCTAAGCGAAAAGCTAAGCGAAACGCTAAGCTAAAGCTAAGCTACAGCTAAGCTAAAGCTAAGCTAAAGCTAAAGCTAAGCTAAAGCTAAAGCTAAAGCTAAAGCTCCCAGGGGATTGGGGGGAACCGCTCCCAGGGGACTGGGGGAACCGCCCGGGGCGTGTTCCACTGCCCGGCCGCTTTAAGCTAAGAGAGTAAGAACCCTTCTAGGCAGAGCCTAGGTAGGGAATAAGAAGAAGAATAATAAGAAGAACAAGAAGAAAAACAAGAAGACGAAGACGAAGAAGAAGAATAAGAAGAGGGAGGAGGAGGAGGAGGAGGAAGAAGAGGGGGGAGAGCAACGGAGAAGTAGAGCATCCGACACCGCGAGGCCTCCACGGGCACGTCCTGGGACCGCGGGCCTGCGTCTGGGCGCGAGCACCCGCCCCGGGACCCAGCCCAGAGCTGACGCCACCCTGGCCATCGCTCGGACGTCCATTCCCTGTGTTTTTTTCGGTTTCGTGCGTGGTTTTTTCGCCAAATGATCAAGGATGCTCCTCGATGGTCCTCGCCGAAGGAAAAACGCACACGTCCGAGCGATACCAAGCACCTGGGATCACTGGTCCGAACTGCACACGCGGAGGCCTGTCGGGGGTGAACGGGCACATCCCCCGCATGTGTTGCTCCAGCGGCTGGGCAGAGGGCGACTGCTCCTGCGGATAGGTATGCAAATTGGGGCCGCGATGCACGGAAGGAGGAGGAGGAGCCCCGGCGCGACGGGGGGAAAGGAAGCTGGGCCACTCAGAGCTCCCGGCTTCGGCGGGGGAGCCCATCCCCGATAACCACAAGAACACCAACAATCATTTCGAGACTGCTCGCACTTACCTGCTCGCGTGTCATTGAGCGTGTCGACGCCCAGACCCTCGACACCCGCCCTCTTCGTGTGCCTCCCTTGGAGGTGTATCTTTCTTGCCTGCCACGTGTAGTTGCCGCAGCCCTCAAAACCAGGACAGGGGCGGACGAGGGCAGAGACAAGGAGGAGGGAGAGACTGCAGAGGGGGGAAGGACGAGAGAGGCTCGGAGCAGGGGGGTCAGAGGGAGGAGGAGGAGGAGGAGGAGGAGGAGGAGGAGGAGGTGGAGGAGGAGGAGGAGGAGGGACAAGGCGGGGACAGGGAGGGACGAGACGAGAGAGATTTGCAGGAGGGGGGCTATGGGGCAGGAGTACAGGCGGCACGACCAAACTGGCGGGTCGGGCGGGCGGACCCTGGCGGAGGGCGAGCGGGTCCAGGCGGCCGGGCCGGGGGGGCGGGCCGCCGAGGCGGCAATCAATCCAGCGCGGATCGCCATGAATTTTCGAGCGATGGTGGGATTCCCAAGCAAATCGTGACGAAATCCAGAGCGAGAGCGTGACTCCTGAGTGTCGAAGGCACGGCGTCTCAATTTTTTGATAAGGAAAATACCGCGCGGGAGCGCGCAAGAGTGAGGCAATGCCGCGCCCGAGCGCGATTTCGAATGAACTGGAGAGAGGTATCCGGCGGGAGCCGCTGTTGTGGTGAACCGGGGAACCGGGTCTGCGCCTCAAGACGTCTTCCTCGCGTAACCAACAAGATTCGAGCCGAGCCCCGGGAGGAGCACAGCGGGCACTGGAGGGGGATCAACAATCATTATTCTCGGGAAATGAGAACTCCACAACAGCAGCAGTCATTCCGAGACTGTTCGCTCTCATCTGCTCTGCGTGCCGTTCCATCTCGATGCGCACCCTCTTCGTATTCGTATTCAAGCCCTCGTTGGGGGCATACCTTCCTCTCCTGCCACGCTCAGTTGGCGCAGCCCCCAAGACAGGGAGGGAGGAGGGAAGGATCAACGGGAGAGAGAAGAATGGAGCACAACAGAGATTCGCAGGAAGAGGGTTGGGAGCTGAAGAACAAGTGGCAGTACCAGACGGGCTCCTCGGGCGGGGCGGGGCGGGGGGCGGGCCCAGACGGCGGGGTCGAGCGGGTGGATCGCCGAGGCGTCAGTCCTGCATGAATCGCGAAGGACGTCTCGAGCGACAGCGCGATTCCCAGGAAGCAGCTTAAGGAAGTCCAGAGCGAGAGCGTGATTCATGGGTGTTGGCGGCGCGGCGATTCCATGAATTGCGAGAAAGAACCACGCGAGAGCGCGATTCCCGGATAAAATGTGAGGAACTCCTGCGCGAGAGCGCGATTTTGGAAAAAATGTAAAGAAGTATCAGACGGTAGACGTCACTGTTCTAGTTCGGGAACGAGGGGCACAATCTGAGCCTCAAGATTCCCGATTGTAAAATGATGCGAGCCCAGGGAGGAGCACTTGAATTGAAGAACACAACGTGCACCGAGCAGGGGAGATCAATAACTCTTGTTCATTAGACATGAGTGCTTCACAACATCGTCACCATCATCGACAAGATCGTCACCACCACCACCACCACCACCACCACCACCGTCATCACCACATTCATCGCGAGGTTTAGATTCACCATCAATGTAGTCCTCAACATCACCCATCGCATCATCATCATCATCATCATCATCATCATCATCATCATCATCATCATCATCATCATCATCATCATCATCATTATCATCATCATCATCATCATCATCATCATCATCATCATCATCATCATCATCATCATCATCATCATCATCATCATCATCATCATCATCATCATCATCCATGATCATCATCATCATCATCACGAGCATCATCACCATCGTCGTCGTCGTCGCCGTCGTCATAATCATCAACACCATCAGCATCATCATCAGCATCAGCATCATCGTCATCATTATCACCATCAGCATCCTAATCAGCATCATCATCATCTTCATCATCATCGTCATCATCATCGTCCTCGACATCGCCAGCATCGTCATCATCATCGTCATCACAGTCGTCATCATCATCGTCGTCGTCATATACAGAATGCTCATCATCCTCATCAGTATCGTCGACGTCATAACCAACACCCCTGACATCATCACGAACACCAGCATAGTTATAATCGTGATCTCTCTCGAACTCATGATCATGATCACCATCATCATCCCAATCCTCATCATCCTCACCATCATCCTCCTCCTCATCATCTCCTGAGCGTCAGCAGGAGCGACCCACCCGTCCTCCAGGGCACCGGCGTCCACGGAGACCGCCTGACGCAGCAGCACACTTCGATCCGACGCCACGATTACTCTTAATGCCGGGCGCTCTCGCTCAGCTTCAACCCCGGGAGCGCCTCACATATTGATCTGGAACCAGAAGTCGGGTGTTGCCTGAAGTGGCCCTGGCCCATGGTGGCCCCAGCTTTCCCAGGGAAGGGGGGGGGGGTCTACAGAGCAGCCCTCGCGAGGCCCAGAGGGCCTCTGGCGCTGCCACATGGCACGAAAGCTAGAGGCACCTTGGGCCAGGGCCACCTCTGGCAACAGCCAAAGAGATGCCGCAGAAAGATGGGGTCGGCGGTGATTTTCAAAAGTGCTGCAACTTTCGCGTGGCGCCAGATCTCAGAGATGGCCGAGCCAGCGGCGGGGGAGGCTGGCGCCTCCTCCTCCTCCTCCTCCTTAGCCTCCTTCGCCTCCTCCTCCTCCTCCTCCTCCTCCTCCTCCTCCTCCTCCCCCTCCCCCTCCTCCTCCTCTCTCCTCCTCCTCTCTCCTCCTCCTCTCTCCTCCTCCTCCTCCTCCTCCTCCTCCTCCTCCTCCTCCTCCGCCTCCTCCTCCTCCTCCTCCTCCTCCTCCTCCTCCTCCTCCTCCTCCTCCTCCTCCTCCTCCTCCTCCCTCCTCCTCCTCCTCCTCCTCCTCCTCCTCCAACTCTCCTTCTCCCTGTTGTTCCTCCTCCTCATCTTCCTCCTCCTCCCTCACCTCCTCCTCCTCCTCCTCCTCCTCCTCCTCCTCCTCCGCCTCCTCCTCCTCCTCCTCCTCCTCCTCCTCCTCCTCCTCCTCCTCCTCCTCCTCTCCTCCTCCTCCTCCTCCTCCTCCTCCTCCTCCTCCTCCTCCTCCTCCTCCTCCTCCTCCTCCTCCTCCTCCTCCTCCTCCTCCTCCTCCTCCTCCTCCTCCTCCTCCTCCTCCTCCTCCTCCTCCTCCTCCTCCCTCCTCCTCCTCCTCCTCCCCTCCTCCTCCTCCTCCTCCTCCTCCTCCTCCTCCTCCCTCCTCCTCCTCCTCCTCCTCCTCCTCCTCCTCCTCCTCCTCCTCCTCCTCCTCCTCCTCCTCCTCCTCCTCCTCCTCCTCCTCCTCCTCCTCCCCCCTCCTTCTCCTCAGACCAGCCCGTTGAGGTGCGGGAGACAGCGGGCGCGAGAAGGGTGGGCGGCGGCGGCGGGCCGTGCCACTGCTCAGGGAAGCAGGGTCGCTGCAGCGGGAGCGCGGCAGCGGACCACAACAGAGTTCTGGGCGCACCGCGCGCGCGAGAGAACTGCGAGCGGCGGCGGCGGGCCGCGGGCCCCGCGCGGCCGCTCACGGAGACAGTTTTTGATCTGCGGGGCGAGAGCGAACCTCTTCCGGAATACCGCTCATGGAGACAGGCGGGCGCCGAAGCGGGAGCGCGCAGCGTGCGGTGGCCCGAATCGGGCCCTGAAGCCAAGGCTTTACAAGAGCCACACTGAGTGACGAAGCAAAGCGGGTCTGACGTCGAGCTCGAGCACGAGCAGGCCGCCTGCCGCAAGTGGCAGAGCGGGAACCAGAAGCACCAGCAGGAGGAGGCAGGCGCAGCGCTTCAGCAGCTGCAGCGCCACCTCGCCATGGAGGCCCAGGAGGCGCTCCAGGAGCAGAAGAGGAGCTCCGAGCAGGAGATACATACCATGATGGAGGCAGCGAACAGGGCTCGGCGAGGCGAGGAGCAGCGCCTGCAGCTGGCACGCCAGGAGCGCGAGAGTTGCCAACAGGCTCAAGCCGAGCTGGAGAGCGAAGCGCTAGCCCTGATCCAGCAGGCGCGAGCTTCGGAGGCGCAGCACGCCGCGGAGCTGGGCCACCAGGAGGCTCAGGCAGGTAGGACATGATGGCAGCGCACCTCGAGCTCCAGGCCAGCCAGGGAAACGGCTCGTCGCGTTTGGCATGGAGCAGGCCGAGGCCTACCAGCAGGGCAAGCGGCGCCTCGAGGAGGAGGCCTGCCTGGCAGACGCGCGACGGTCAGCGCCAGCAGATGGCCACTGCCGGCCAGTCCGAGGCGGAGGAGCACCGCGCCAGCAACCGCCGCCTCGAGCGGCAGCGCGACGCCTTGCAGCACCCGCACTGGGTCCAGAACGACAACGCGAGGATGCACTGGGAGCTGCAGGCCCGCCACGAGCAGGAGACAGCGGCGATCAACAGCGCTCGCAGGCACGCCCTGGTGGCGAGCATGTTGACGGGCGAGACGCTGAAGCTCAACATCCTCGACGAGATGGCGGCCAAGCTGGCGGAAGAGGACGCAGTCATGGACCGCGACCAGGCGTTGGCAACCCAGAAGGAGGCCCACCAGCGCGACGGAGCTCCAGCACAGTTTGATGGCCAGCATCCCAACCACGGAGTTCGAGCGCCCGCACCAGGACGCCGCGGTCTACGCGATCGAGCTTGCTGCCTTCTCCCTAGGCGAGAGGTCGCACACCCCGTCGAGGCCTTCGACGACGCCCGACAGCGACTTCAGCCTCCATGCCCTCGGACTCGCGCCAGCAGAGGACACCACTCCGCCGCTGCCGATGGAGGCGCCGCCGCCGCTGCCACCTCCAGCTCCACCGCCGCCTCAGGAAGCAATCCTCGTAGAGGACTCCCAGCTGGTCCCACTCGGCGGGTCTGACGACGCCGATCTTCACGACGAACCAGCACCAGCCACCCCGACGCCCACGCACCTAGCAGAAGCCTCCCCGACGCCCGACGCCCATGCGTCCATTCCAGCCGAGCAGCCTTCCCCACGGGCGTCGCCCTTCCCGCCCGTAACGAAGTTCATAACCCCAACGCCCAACCCCAGCCCACTGAAGCCCAAGACTCCGACCACAAGGATCCTCATCGACCTGAGCACCGAAGGGCAGACAGCACCAGCCACGCAACCAAGGATCCCCATCGCCGACATCACGCCCACCGAGCCCTTCGACGCAGAGTGCCCACCTCCCAAGTTCCACGCGTGGACACCCGAGAGGACATCCTCGGAGCCCCCGCTCAGAAGCTCGATGCGACGGGAAGCCGACGAGGGACGAGCCAAAAGCCCGCCCAGGATGGTCAGGATCCACGACACGGGCGACGGCTTCGCCGACCCTGGCGACAGACACCCCAAGTTCCTCGAGAGCGGCGAGAGCGACGGCCTCGACGCCGCCTGGCTCTCCCCAAAAAATCTGAACACGAGAGCGCCAGCTAAGGGGCAACTGGCGCAGCTCGGCGCAAACCACCCGACACCAGCGGCACCACAGGACCACGAGCCCTGCTTCTCCGACCCCTGCAGTGTTGAGGCTACGCGCGTGATTACCTGTGGCCCACGGCCCCTGGCTGGCCGAACACGGTCATACGTAACCAACCGTTTCACCATCACAGATAGGGTCACCGACGACGTAAGGCCATGGGGCGGCCATTCACCCGACATCAGCGACAGCTCCACTGGGAAGTGCCTTAGATGCCCACCTACCCACCATCGCGACAACCACAACAGTCCGCGTCACACCAACAACCAAGTCAAGGACAAATCTAAACCCATAAAGAGAGCACGGATCACTAACAATGGGACGTCAAGCCCACCTAGCGGCAGCGCAGACACAACGGAGGCATCGGGGAGACCCCCCTCGGGCCGCATCGGCGGCCACCGGCCACAACATCAGGGGAGCGATGTTCGCGGGCCAGCACCCAGTCGACCACAGTGTCCAGCTGCAACAGCCGCCTCGAGAGTGCAAGACCTCGGCGACCCAGCGAACCGACGCCTACCTGAGACACCCCCCCCCAGGAGGACAGTGGCAGTCGCCGATTCAACCGAGTGACCGACAGGCCTTCCCAACAACCATTAGCGAGTGCCCCGAGTGCAATGCCTCGGCGATCCCCCAGCCCGATGCCCACCTGAGCTACCCCCTCAGGACGGCATCCCACCTTCGCAGCCCACGCTGCATAGCGCATCAGGCCCCACTGGCCACAGCGCCGAATACCAGCCAACAGCCCGACGCCCTCCTGAGACACCCCCTCAGGACGGCACTAGGCGCTCGCAGCCCACGCTGCAGAGCGTCCAAGGCCTCAGTGGCCTCAGTACCGACCTCCATCGATCTCCCGCGACAGAGATCGAGAGCCCGCCTCACACAGCCAGGCGGGATCAGTGGGATCAGCCCACCCCCGACAAGGCCTCGCCAGGGAGCCGCAATCGACAGGCGACTAGCTACTTCAGCTCGAAGTCGCCTGAGGTGCGGGGAATGGCCCTCGAAGCCGTTCATGGCCCACCCGTGGCCGCTCTGTTTACATTCTCGGGTGGCGGCGATGGCGGTACAAATGACCTGACCCACTGCGTCGACACGCCCGAGATCGCAGCACGAGGCTGCTCTGGGACAGACGGCAGCACGAAGACTGCTCAACAACCCCGGCTTAGCACGCCCACGACTAGGCCTCATGGCCTTCAACACCAGGAGTTCGACGGCATCGAGAGCACCTTCCACGACAGCGAGCAATGGTTGCCCCATCACCACGCCCCCACCCTGCCCAGCTGCCCCCGCGACGCCCAGACCGACGCCGAGCAACGACAGCGAGTAAGGCAATTTCGCAGGCTCCGTCCAACTGCATAATACACCAGCACCACACCACTTCGAATCCATAAACGATTCAACCCACTTGCTGAAGACGACGCCCACACTCCACGCACCACTTCACCACCACCACCGAGCAAGAGCAGGAGAAAGGTCCAACACCAGCTTCCACTTTGCCAACGCCCGACAGCGCCACCTGCCACAACGACCCAGCATCACCAACCACGCCTTCAGCAGCACAAACCCCACGGCATCATCAACAACAGCCACCCGTTTCCACCACCTTCGACAGCATCGCCACAGCAACACCCCCACACCCCCACACCCCCACACACAAACACACACACACACACACACACCGCCAAACTCCACCAGACGGGCCCGACGGGGTCGATTGCGCCACCACCTTCAACGGATACGAGCCACAGTACGTTGCAGCCGAGCAGCGCAGCCGACGACGACGGCGACGGCCATGCCCGACCG